ATCGAAGACACTTTTCTTTCTCCATTGTATGTTTTTGGTTCTTTTGCCTATATATACGAGGGTTTATTCTGATTTTTATTTTAAAATTGAAGAGTCAAATGATCATATTTACAATTTAAATAAAAATTGCTCTGAACTTGCCCATGAATCAGCATATTAGATAGAAAAATGATTGATCTTGAGTCATTTTTTTCTATTGGAAAATTACTAAATAAAAGGAGAATGATTGCTCATAATAAAATTGTTATTCTCTTTAAATAATCTTGACCTTTTACACTAAAAAAGATAGTCCTGCTGGTGAATTTTTAAAATATATTATTAGCCATTATTTTTTTCATTTAAAGTTAGCATTTGAACCTCATTATGAAATGATAAATTATAAGTAGTTGGCAAGCTCGCTGATAGATTTTTTTTTACTGTAAATTTTAAGTTGAATAACAAGTCATAAATACCTTCCTAGAAATGTCAGAGCCTTGAATACTTAACTTAAGTATTCAAATCTAGCCCTCTCCTGTGGGGTTGCTCATAGCTGAATTCCTTCCTCTGCTCTCTGTTCTGCCCCAAGATCTCTCGAGTATTTGTATCAACTTACAGTTATCTCCAGCCCACATCTTACCCTTAAGATCTACTGAGGTGTATCAGTGAGCTTGATAAGTATCACAATATTAGTAGCAAGAGGGAAGATTTAGCTCTTCTTATTTATTTAGTGTCCTCAACTCCATATCACCTTTAATTTAAACATACTCCATCACATCAATAACAGAAACAAAGAGTGGCAACCCTCTTTTTCCACCTCAAGCCCCTAAATAATCTACATTATCCCAATGTAAACTAGGTCTGGCTTAACTATTCAATAGCCCACCTCTCACTAAAAGGAATCCTCAGGCTTAATCAGTTTAATCTAATTCCTTTACCACAGACATACTACTATTATCCCATCTGTGACTTCTTTTGCCAGGAATACTGTCCTTCTCTGTTATACTTACCTATCTTCCATCAACTCAATTCTCACCACTTCCATTGAAGCTTTTCCTGAAAATATTAATTATAACAGCTTCCTTCTTTTAAATAACATGAACAGTGTTCACCACTAATACAGCATGACTGTATACTTATCTTCTATTGATAACTATTTTATATTAACTAATTCTGTGTTCCAACTATATTGTGCTTGTGTACTTCTAAATATTCCAAAATGTCTAGAATAATGCTAAGCTAATCAATAGTCTTGTCCCATGAGAATTCATTTTCACAGAGTATCTAGATAAATCTTTTTAAAAACATAAATTATCCCAATCTCCTGCTTTTGAACCCTCCAATAACGTCTCGTTACAGGTAGAATAAAATAAAATCTTTGTACCACGACCTATAATCCCCTGACTGATCAAAGTGGAAAACTAAATTAAGGATCGGCTTTAATTGGTTTTAATCCCATGATTAGCAATCCTCTACTGCCTTTCCCTCCAATCCAGACTTAACTCTACAATGTACCATTGTAGGGGGATGATCACCAAAAAAAATAATACAGTGTTATTTCACTAATTCCTTCATTAAACATATTTATTGAACACAAACTCTATGCTAGGTTCTGTTCTAGATACTGAAATATAGTGATAAACAACAACAACAAAAATGTCTGTGACTTCTTGGTTCACTCTAATTAGGGTGACCTACAGTCCTAATTTAAATATGAAAAAAGGACTTCCTGGTATATGAAATTTTCAGTACTAAAACTTTTAAAATTTTAGTGCTAAACCTGGAATGACTTGATCACTTTAATTCTAATGGAGAAAACAGACAATAAATATGTATGAGCTGTTTTATCAATATATCACTATTAATTGAATAAGGAGAAAAAAGCCTTTATATGTTTCTTAAAACTTCAGTTAATGAATCTGAATCCTGTCTTGTGGTTTTCATGTGAAATTTATCACATGTATTGTTGCATAAAAAATTATCTCAAAACTTAGTAAGTTTAAGGAAAAAAGAGTGGCTTAGACTCATGGTTATTGTCCAGGATATATCATGAGATTGCTCTCTAGATGGCAGCTAGGGCTGCAGTTATCAGAAGTCTTGACTGGGTCTGTGAGATATCCTATTAAGCTCATTTGCTCATTATACAGTTATTGGCAGACTTCAGTTCTTCAAAGGTTTTTGGCTAGAAGCCTCAGTTACCCACTAAGTGAGTCTCACTATATATTGCCTGAGTGTCCTCAGGTAACTTCTTCCAGAGCTCATGATAATAGAGAACCCCCAATATGGAATCCCATAGTTATTTTATATTAGTTATTTTACAACTAATATAGGAAGCAATATACTATGTACTACCACTTTTGCCATATTTTAATTGGCAAATTAATTTAATTTAATTCTACTCCTTATCCACACCATTCCATAGTTTTGTTGTTGTTGTTTATCACTATATTTCAATATCTAGAACAGAGCCTAGCATAGAGTTTGTGTTCAATAAAGGAAGGAACTATACAAGGGTGTATATACTGGGAGATAGGCCAATTTGGAGGCTGGCTAATAAACTGTGATTCTATTCCTGATTATCTTTGCTTTTTACTATAAACCAGTAGTTTTAACATTTAGTATGCTAAAAAATATATATTTTTCAAAACATAGAAATTCGGGTCTCATTTCTAAAGATGTTTCAGTATGATTGCATGCAGCATTTTTATGAAGCACCCTGGGTATTTCTGATATAAAATGTGTGAAGACCACACATTAAAAAAACAACAACAACAAACAAAACAAAAAAAAAACAACAAAACAAAACAAAACGAAAACGAAAACAACAAAAAAGCTCCTCAGATCATGCACCTAGAACACAGAACATTTTCATCTCTTCTTATGAGATTGAACTACCTCTTATATGATTATTACTTCCAGATATACTTTTTTCCTGGTCTGGGTTTAGCATTGCCTCACAAAGATGTTTCCCATATAGCTCAAATCCATTCCTTCTACTCCTTATCCACACCATTCCATAGTTACAAATCTCCCTGAATTCCCAAAATTGATTAATAGAAATACCATTTTTCAGTAGCTCAAGTGAGAACTCCTTTGTTTTGTTAAAACCTCTCATATTAATATGTCATAAAGTCTGTCGATTATATACATATATATATTTATTATTCTATTGGTCTTCTCTTTTCCCTTTACCAATGCCTTAGTTTGCATACTTATTTCCTCCTGGATTGCTGCCAATAACCTTTTACCTGATGTACCTACTGCCAATCTTACCCTTTTCCAATCTATTCTCTATATTACTGCTAGAATTTTTTTTTCTAGAATGCTGATTTAATCATCTTATTTGCTGCTCAAAACCTTTCAGTGTTTTCCTGAATAAAATACAAACTTTATACTGTGGATTAAAAGGCTCTTTTATTTTTTACCAACCCTTTACCAACATCTTCTGTTTTGCCTCTTGATATTCCACCAATTCTCCAATAGCCATAACAGAACTATGTGAAGTTACAGAATTCATTGCAATATCTCAAGTATTCCTGATCTTTTGAAATCTGTAAATTTCTATTTATACTGAGACTCAGCTCAAATATCTTCTCTTCCAGAAATCTTTTACTATGATTTTTCAAAAATCAAACAATATCTCCCTCTTAATCTCTTTCTTTGAATTTTTAGTTTCTTAACTGAGTGACTGTTAATTAAATAGAAATGATACATAAAATTTTGATTATTGATTGACTGTGGAGTATAATATGTGAATTATTATCATGGAATATAAGAGAAAATTTTAGTTTAGGCTGACTATACATCTTCTTTGATTCTGCCCTTAGAATCACAGAACAATGAAACAGAAGAAATGAAAATGACCACAAGCTTAGATAACATCTAGTTTTGGTCCCATCCTTATTTTGTGCACAAGAAAATTTGGATTTAGAACAATTTTTCTGGTTTGAAATCCATAGCATGTTAGTGAGAAGATGGTATTAGAATATATCTACATAGATGATATATGTGTATGGAGTATGAGAAATTAAAAAAAAAAAAAAAACACTTATTCTTATGCATCCATAGTAGAAAACCAGCTTTCACTTAACTTGAGATTCAGATATATCTGCTAATGATTGGCGAGCAAGCTTGAGATGACATAATTTGTTCAAAGTTATCAAGTGTGTATATATGTGTGTGTGTGTGTGCGCGCACGCGTGCACATGCACACACACACATGCGTGAATGAATAAATAAAAGGGAAGGGATATGGAGGTGATATAACATTTGTTGGAAAAATTGGTCCCTCGACCTTGTTGAATGAGTTAGCATTTGAACATTGTAGAGAAATAGGCTTTAGGCAACAGTTCAAGTAGCTGTTTTCTAAGAAGACTGTGAAATATGGGGAAATCAGTTATATCATTTCATAGTTTAGATGACAAAGCATAACACATACCAGAAGGAAGAACATTCTTCAATGACAGTTTTAACTCATTCAGGATTCTAAAGATCAATGTATAACCTTAGCAAACCATAGGTTTGCAACTGGGAAGGAATTAAGGGATAGTTCCTTATCATTTATACTATGGATTTGGGAAAATGACACTATCAGTCCAGGCTGCAGTAACAAAGTACCATAGACAGAGTGGGTTAAACAATTAGCATTTATATCTCACAGCTATGTAGGCTAGAAAATCCAAGATCAAGGTGCCAACATATCAGATATCTGGTAAAGAATCCCTTCCTGGCTTGCAGATGGCCATGTTCTCATTGTATTCTGATAGGAAGGAAAGTAGAGAGAGAGTAAACTTTGCCATGTTTCTTCTTATAAGGATACTAATTCCATGATGTGAGCTCTACCTTTATGACCTAATCACTCCACAATGGTCTCAACTCCAAATGCCATCACATTTAAAATTAAGGTTGTAACATGTGAATTTGGGGGGTCTCACATATATTCAGTCCATAGCAAACAAAATGACCAGGTACTACCTTCGAGTGTTTTTTAAACAACAAAAGGAAAAACATAAATTGGATTTCAAAAAATTATAGAATGCTTTATGAATTTGTGTGTCATCCTTGCTCAAGGGCCATGCTAATCTTCTCTGTATTATTCTAATTTTAGTATATGTGTTGCCAAAGCGAGCACTCTTCAAGTTTGTTGTTTTTTTTTTAATTCAACATAGTTCACAAACAAGGGTGCAAATATAACATAAAAATATTGCTTGTGAATACGTGTGGGACACCTCAGATTGGGTAAGATTTTTAAGAGATTTGGAGGTCTGGCATCAGTAATTGAGGTCATAAACTAATAATATGAATTATAATTATTAATTCAACAATATTACTGGCTGGTAAGGCCTGGAGAAGTTTGAGTTACAGGCCATATCTGTGTAATCTGGTAAACACTAGAGTAGCATATAATAGCTTTGATGTCTTTAACAGCACTGACTTGATTGTGACTCAGGATAACCTGCATTCAGTCTTGGATTCATCTATGATGTACTTGTTGCCACTTTCTCATAAGTCAAAGATGTACTATTTGAATCCATCATCTGTTGTGTGCCCAGTACTCAAGACTCAACGAGGTTCACAGCTACTATAAAGCCATTCTTAATTAAAACCACCTAATTGTATATCCTTATCTCTTAGTTCCTCAAGCACACATTCCTAGTACCACTACATTTAACAATTTATTAGACCATTTACAGGTTTTATTATTATATTATATTATTAATAGTATTTGTTTACTATTGGCTTTCCAACCTAACCTAAATCCGCTATAATAGCAATAGACTATCTCATACCATACTCAATACTGTACTTCTTTGAGAACTACATCATAGTTCATCATTTCATATACATCCTGTGAATTATCTGTCCCATTTCTCAGTTACATTGTACCTGTGATCAATCTCTATTTTTACCTCTCACTAACCTGGATCCATTATTCAGGCCTTGATTACAATCATTGAAAAGAATCCAGTCCTATCTCAAACCCTAGCCTTAATTTGATAGTACAGAGTCCTTTCTGCAGGCAAGGTAGTAAATTTGTACAAAGCCATCTACAGTTTATAAAGTGGAGCTACAAAGCAGATGGATACAGTACATAGTTGTTCTTTATTATGAGTTTACAATTCATTCAGCTCTGAACTCCTAATGCTTTCAAACATGGAGTGATTTGTAATGCAGCACTCAATTAATTCTGGGATGCTACCAAGAATTTCATTTTGGGGGCAAGCAAGCATGAAGAAAATACATCATCAATGTAGTATACTGCTAGAGTTGCATTCTATTTCTCACTGTATCTTTTTCTTTCAGGTTCCTAGGCACATATTTTATTATTTTATTTTTTTCTTTTATTTTTTGAAATTATTGGGATGACATTAGTCAATTCAATAATACACCATATGTATATTGCATTTTGTGTTTACTACCCAGTTAAATTTCCTTCTGTCACCAAATATTGGACTCCTTTTGCTTCTCTCTAATGTTTCTCCTTCCTTCTAAAGACAACAAATCCACTGTCTCTGTCCATGAGTCTCCGTTTGCCATGTTTCTTTGTTGCTTTCACTTTTATATCCCACATATAAGTGTAATCACATGGTTCTCAACTTTTGCCTTATTTTGTTTAGCATGATAACTTCGAATCATCCATATTGCCATGAATGGCAGCATTTCATCTTTTCTTATGGCTCAGTAATAGTCCATTATATATATATATATGTACCACCTTTTCTATTTATTTGTTTTTTGTTTGTTTGTTTGTTTAATTTATTTATATGTGGTGACAATGGTTAATGAAATCTGGTAAGTTTCAGTTGTACATTTTAACAGTAAAGCATGATATATTTACATTGTATACAACTCCACTAATTAGACTTCTTTCTGTCGACACATATTTGACCCCTTTTAACTCATCTACCTCCCCTTTCCTCCCTACCCTCTGATAACCACTACTCCATTGTCCACGTCCATTAGTCTCTGTTTGTTCATTGGTTGCTTTTAGGTTTAGATCCCACATATAAGTGACTTTCAACTTTTTTCTGTCTGGCTAATTTCACTTAGCATGATTATCTCGATGTCCAACCATATTGCCGCAAATGGTAGTATATCATCTTTTTTTATGGCTGAGTTATATTCCATTGTATATATGTACCACAGCTTCTTTATCCAATCATCTATCTTAGGACACTTCAGTTGTTTTCATATCCTAGCCACTGTGAATAATACTGCTATGAACAAATATCTTTTGGGATATGAGCTTTCAAGACTTCAGGGTAAATCCCCAGGAGAGGTGTTGCTGGATCATGTAGTAGATCGATTCTTAGTTTTTTGAGGGATCTCCATAAGGTTTTCCACAGTGGCTGTACCAATTTACAGTCCCATCAGCAGTGTATGAGAGTTTCTTTTTCTCTGCATCTTCTCCAACACTTGTTATTACCTGTCCAGTTGATAATAGCTATTCTAATAGGTATGAGATGGTATCTCATTGTGGTTTTGATTTGCATTTCCTTAATAGCTAGTGATGTTGAACATCATTTCATATGTTTGTTGACCATTTGTATGTCTTTTTGAGAGCAGTGTCTGCTCGAGCTTTTGCCTATTTTTTGATTGGATCATTTGTTTTTTTGTTGTCATTGAGTTGTATGAGCTCTTTGTATATTTTGGATATTAGGCCCTTATTGGAGGTGTTTCTTGCAAATATATTTTCCCATTCAGATGGTTGTCTCTTTATCTTGTTGGTGGTTTCTTTTACTGTGAAGAAACTTTTAAGTTTGATGTAGTCCCATTTATATTTGCTTTTACTTCCCCTGCCTTCGAGGTCAAATTCAAAAAGTACTCTTTAACCCTAGGTCTTTGAGTTTAGTTCCTATGTTTTCCTCTGTTCAATTTATCGTTTCTGGTCTTATATTCAGATCCTTGATCCATTTTCAGTTAATTTTGGTGTGTGCTGATAGACAAATGTCTAGTTTCATTCTTTTTCAGATGGCTTTCCAGTTTTCTCAGCATCATTTATTGAAGAGGCTTTCTTTTCTCCACTGAATGTTTTTGGCTTTTTTTTTTTTTTTGTCAAAAGTCATTTGCTCGTATAAATATGTGTTTATTTCTGGTCTCTCTATTTTGTTCCACTGTTCTGTGCGTCTGTTTTGTTGACAAACCATGCCATTTTGATTACTGTCATGTCGTAGTATAATTCGAAGTTGGGCAGAGTGTTGTCTCCAGCCTCATTCTTTTTTCTTAGAATGGCTTTGTCAGTTCGGGGTCTTTTGTGCTTCTATACAAATCTGATGATTTTTTTGTTCTATTTCTTTAAAAAAATGCTGATGGGATTTTGATGGGGATTGCTTTAAGTCTGTGTAATTCTTTAGGTAATATGGTCAATTTAACTATGTTGATTATCCCAATCTAAGAATATGGAATATCTTTCTGTTACTTTCTATCTTCTTCAATTTCTTTTAATAGGGTCTTATAGTTTTCTTTTTATAGATCTTTCACATGTTTTGTTAGATTTATTCCCAGGTATTCTACTCTTTTTGTTGCAATTGCAAAAGGAATTATTTTTCCGCTTCTTTTCTGACACTTCATTATTAGAATATAGGAAAGTTATGGATTTTTGAACATTGATTTTATATCCAGAAACTTCACTGTATTTGCTTATTGATCCTAGTATTGTTCTTGTGGAGTCTTTAGGGTTTTCCATATAGAGAATCACGTCATCCGCAAATAGTGACAGTTTGACTTCTTCGTTTCCTATTTGGTTGCATTTAATAGCTTTCTTTTGTCTGATTGCACTTGCTAGGACCTCCAATGTTATATTGAATAACAGTGGTGTTAGTGGACAGCTTTGCTTTGTTATTGATCTTAGAGGGAACGTTTTTATTTTTTCACCATTAAGTATAATGTTGGCTGAGAGTTTGTCATATATGACCATTATTATATTAAAATACTTTCCTTCTATATTGATCTTGTTAAATGTTTAGATTTTAAATGGATGCTGCATCTTCTCAAAGACTTTTTCTACATCTATTGATATGATCATATGATTCTCATTTTTAATTTGTTTATATGGTGTATCATATCAACTGATTTGCATATGTTGAACCATCCCTGTGCCTCTGGGATGAAGCTCACTTGATTATGGTATATAATCTTTTTAATATGCTGCTGTATTTGGTTCGCTAGTATTTTATTTGGGATATTTGCATCTGTGTTCATGAAAGATATTGGCCTGCAGTTTTCTTTTTTTGTGCAATCTTTACCAGGTTTTGTTATCAGGGAAATATTGGCCTCATAATATGAGTTGGGAAGTATTGCCTCCTCTTTGATTTTTTGGAAGAGTTTGAGGAGAATAGGTGTTAAATCTTTTTTGAAATTTTGGTAGAATTCACTGGTGAAGTCATCTGGTCCCAGACTTTTACTTTTTGGTAGGTTTGATGATTGTTTCAATTTCCATATTGATGATCAGTCTATTTAGATTTTCCAGTTCTTCTTGATTTAATCTAGGAAAGTTGTATTTTTCTAAGTACTGGTCAATTTCTTCTAGGTTATTAAATTTGGTGTTATATACTTTTTCGTATTATTCTTGTATGATACTTTGTATTTCTGAAGTATCTGTCATAATTTCCCCTCTTTCATCTCTGGTTTTATTTTCTTCTACCCTTTCTCTATTTTCTTTACTGAGTCTAGCCAGGGTTTTTCCAATTTTATTAACTTTCTCAAAGAACCAGCTCTTTGTTTTATATATTTTTTCTATTGATTTTTTTATCAGTTTCATTTATTTATACTCTAATTTTGATGATTTCTTCCCTTTTGCTGACTTTAGGCTTCATTTGTTCTTCCTTTTCTAGTTTTTTTTTTTTTTTTTAAGATAAAGCATTAGATTGTTTATTTGTGCTTGTTCTTGTTTTTAGAGATAGGCCTCTAATCATATGAACTTTTCTTTTATGATCGCTTTTGTTGTGTCCCAAAAGTTTTGATATGTTGTAATATCATTATCATTTGTTTCTATGTATCTCTTGATCTCTCTTTTTATTTCTTCTCTATCCCAGTTATTCTTAGTTATCATGTTGTGTAAACTCCATGTATTTGTGGTTCTTCCTGATTTCTTTTTATAGTTGATCTCTAGTTTCAACGTATTAGGCTTAG